TTTTACCAACTTCTTCAGTCTGAAATTGATCAAACATGTAATCATGAAGTATTGATAATTACTGGCAATTGGAATGCAAAGGTTGGAAACAGAGAAGGATCAGCAGTGGGAAAATAATGCCCTTGATGATAGAAACAATGCTGGAGATCGCATGATAGAATTTTGCTAGACCAATGACTTCATTATTTCAAATAGCTTTTTAAAATAACATAAAAAGATGACTATACACATGGGCCTCACCAGGCAGAACACACAAGGCCAGGGCAGATTGTGGAATAGACCATCAAATGTTCATATGTAAGTTCAAGCTGAAGCTGAAAAACTTAAAACAAGTCCACAAGAGCCAAAATATGAACATGGATATACCCCACCTGAATTTAGAAATCATCTGAAGAACAGATTTGATGCATTGTACACTAAAGACTGAAGACCACAAGAGTTGTGGGATGATATCAAGAACATAATACAGGAAGATAGCAAAAGGTCATTGAGAAGACCAAAAAAGAAGAAAAAGACAAAGTAGATGTCAGAAGAGACTCTGAAACTTGCTCTCCAGCAAAGAGATGCTAAAGCAAATAGAAGTAAGGAGGTAAAATAGCTGAACAGAAAATTTCAAAGGGCACCTCAAGAAGACAAAATCAAATATTTTAACAAAATGTGCAAAGACCTGGAGTTAGAAAATCAAAAGGGAAGAACACACTAAGCATTTCTCAGGCTGAAGGAACTGAAGAAAAAAATTCAAGCCTTGACTTGAAATACTGAAGGATTCTATGGACAAAATATTCAGTGAGCAGAAAGCATCAAAAGAAGGTGATGACCACGTTGGTCATCGATAAGGGGAAGTGGGGGAAAACCAGCAATGAAGTTGTAAGCTAAGGCCAACCACATTCAATAGACTACTGTGAAACCAGGTTGAGACCTGGTTGGCCAGAAGTGTGGCAAGTTGTGGGGAGTCCTGGACCCAGAGACAGTGACATGGCCACAGAGGACTAGAGCAGAGAGTGAAGCATCCAGCTGATATGAAGTGAGGGGAGATACACAAGAACACCCACACTTGCAAATAGTACCCACTTGACCTGTCCTCAATGGCTGGATGATCAGAACGTGACTAGATGAAGAAAAAAAGTATAATCTGATACAATTTGATGAACTTGACCTATACCTATGGATGTAGTACCTCAAAAGAGGGAGCAAATCTTTACAGTGAGGATCATTCACACACCCTCGGTACACAGGGTAGACAGGGATGGCCAACTTAGACATTGGCTATCTTTTGGAAGCGATTTGAACTGAAGGTCTCAGACTTGGGGGCAGTTTAATGGAAGGATCACAACTAAACAGTTGTGGTCCAGAAAATCAGGCTGCTCCCAGGTGACGCTGCCCCCTGAGGAACTTGCAAAGCCTGCCTCAGGGAACAAGGAATTTGCATAGTCTTTCCTTGTATGCAGCTAAAGTCCTGCTAACTGCATGCATCAGTAACACCAGATGTTATTTTCCCTGCCCCCAGCACTCTCCTTTGATTTGTGTATATAATAATTGTTCTGAACTTAGGTAGGAGCCACAGTATCTCCATCAGAGTGCTGTGTCCCACCTGGTCCCAACTTAACTATTCTCATTTTTGTGTCTTGTGTCTTCCTTTTTTTCTAATCTCCTGTCGCCCCTACTCGGGTTTA